TCAGAATCATACATAAACATTGTTAGTCACATTGGTTTGTGAAGAATTCAAAATGGTAGATCAATTGCACCCATGTGCGGATCAAGAGGGTAGTAGATCCGGACCCCATTTTGAATTTTCAGTTATCAGGCCCGTAAAACGCGGGGGTGGGGCGCCCCCCTCCCCATTTTTTTTTTCTGAGTATAGTATTTAGCTATAGAAAGTTTACCTTTAGATGCTGTTTGCCCCCCCCCCCCTTTTTGTTGCTGCATGTAAGGTTGAGCACCGGCAAATTCCAGGATTTGGGCAGTAAATTGGGGGGGGGGTTGTTTTGTTTTAATATTTTGTTTATTTTTTTTGCTTTGTCAGTTTATTTTGGGAAGGTGCCCCCCACCCCACACACATTTATTGGTCAGTTAAGGGGTTTTTGTTGTTGTTTGTTTGTTGTTGTTTTTTTTTTTTTTTGGTTTTTTTTTTTTTTTTTTTTTTTTTTGCTTGTCAGATTTTTTTTTTGGAAGTTGACCCCCCTTTCACCTTGAAACCGTTGCTATGGGCTTGGTTATTAAATTTACGAAGTAAAGTAACTCAAAGATGATCTTACCCCCCCCCCGGAAACTCAGCCTCCTTTTAAGTTGTAACTGCATATAAATACGTATACCCTTGCAAGACACTGTGTACACTTGTATGAAATAATGCGAATTGTCAGATAAAGTTACTGTACCCAGTAAATAAAAAGATGCCCCATTCTTTTTTGGGGGGTCGATTTTTTAAAGGATGGACACATCCCAACCCCTTTCCTCCAAAAATTCCTGGTTCCGCATATGGCACCGGTCACATTCTATCGCAAGGGGAAAAAATCCGTAATACAATGTACCTACAATATTAAACATGCTTTTAATATATTTCCTCTACCTTTTTTCTTTTATTGAAATATTTTATCTCTGGAGCAAGGTTATTAAAACAAGATATTTGCTATTATTTTCGAAAGATTGGCAAAGTACGTGTAGTTATAGATGTAATACCATATTTTTCAGATTTAGTTGCAATCACTGCATCTTACACATGTACTTGGTGATATTTCTACAAAAGTCAAATCAACTTTATGAATATTTTTTATTTATTTATTTATTTTTGAAACATGAAAGTAGGTGGTTGTATTTCTGACATAAAACATAATTTTCCACAGGGGTTTAACCCCTTCATAAATCCCGTATTTAGCATATTTTAAAATTTTTCAACTGACTTATTTTACCTAAATTTAAACAACCTTCACCAAGGAAAACTCAACATTGAAAACGAGTGAACAAAAGATGGAAAGTGAACACTTAGAAGGACAGAAATACCTGTGATATATATTGGCTGCAATAAAAACTGAAACACTGAAAGATAATTTATTGTGCATTAAAACTAAATTATGCGTGATAGAGTTTCGAGAACTTTTCATTACAAGTCTCTATGTGTATGCCTTTATTAACATTGGATAAATTATTGCCTAACACCGTCTTAAGTATGTTACGAATGAAATTGCAATTCCTGTTACGCTTGGATCCACCTACATACTCTCACTCAGTGCAGGGAGTGAATATGACGTCACAGCGGAAGTGACGCCGAGTTGTGTCTGCAGTGGCTGTGTTTAGGACGAAGGCAGCTACATTACTTCGTATTTTGCCGTATTTTCAACGCATGTAATCGTATTGTTAACATTTTTTTATTTACTACAGCATTTCCTTGACGCGACAGGTGGGATTTTTCGAATGTAAACTGCAAGGTTAGTGAAAAATTCGAGAACGTTGAAATGACATGCCCAGTGAAATGACTTACGATAGAAATTACGAAAATTACGCATGTTGGTGAGGATTCTTGAATATCTTGAGTGCAAAAACTGCATAATATTCAGAACACGGATGTTGAAATGATTTTGGGACGTTTTTTATTGTTGTAGTGTTGAAGGCTCGAGGGGGTTAGTCATGCCTGGCACAACTAACCCCTATGGTGCGCGTGCGCTAACTAACCCTGCTTAGACTGAACAAACACTGACTAAGCCTTGGTTTTAGGCCAAGTCCACAAAATAAAGTCCAAATAAAAAAGAACACCAGCACAAACAACATTATATAAGAAAAATAAAATTGATAAACACAAAATCATTATAAATTAAAGAGAAAGAATGAATTCAAACATATTATTAGTGGTATTACTATATAATAACCCAACATTTATTAGAATATTTCTTGTTAGTTGGCTAAGTTAGTTAAGACTAACCCAACATTTATTAGAAAAATTATTGTTAGTTAACTAAGTTAGTTAAGACTAACACAAAAAGAAATGGAAATTCTTGTTAGTCGTCTAAGTTAGTCTGACTAAGGGCTTTTTTCTTGAAAACCCCAAATTCCAATAATCAAAATAATTCCAAATTCAAATAATACACTGTTTCAAGCATATTTGTTTGATTGAAACATGACAAATTTAATGTCTTACGGAAATAAAAGAATGACGAGGATGTTAAGATATGTTCGCATGTATATGATCCCCCCCCCCACACACACACACACACACTTGATACAGTAGCTATTTATCACCTTTGTTAGCTCATCTGAGCTGAAAGCTCAAGTGAGCTTTTCTGATTGCATTTTGTCTTGTCTTCCATCTGTCTGTAAACTTTTCACATTTTCACCTTCTTTTTCAGAACCGTAGGGCAAATTTCAACCAAACTTGCCACAAAGGATCCTTGGGTGAAGGGATTCAAGTTTGTTCTTTTAAGGGGAAATAATTAAGAATTAGTGAAAATTTGGTGGTATCTTTTAAAAATTTTCTTCTCAAGAACCATTGGGCCAAAAAAGTTGAAACTTACATGAATTCTTCATTACATAATGTAAATTCAAATTTGTTCAAATCATGACCCCAGGGATAGGGTGGGGCCACTATGGGGGATCAAAGTTTTACAAAGAAATATATAGTAAAAATCTTCTCAAGAGCAGCAAAGCCATGATTAGTCATATTGATATGGAAGCATCCTCAGGTAGTGTAGATTCAAGTTTGTTCAAATCATGACCCTCAGGGATAGGAGAGGGGTACAGTGGGGATCAAAGTTTTAATAGGAAAATTTGTGGAAAAAATCTGCTAATGAAGAAGAACAGGGCCATATTGACTCAGATTAGTGCTATGGCCCATGGGCCTCTTGTTTGTGTAATGTTGGTTATTTATAAAAGATCTTTCGGGCACAGTCAAGGTCAGTGCTAGATAGAAAAAATAAACTGTTCTTTGTTTACACCCGAACTTACTTTGGATGAAAGAAATAAACTGATGCTCAAATCTAATACAATAATGTGTATGTTCCAAGGAGTCCATGACCCACAGAGTGATCTGAAAAATATCTAGTGTCATTATAAAGGAAAAAAATATTTTTGTTTCATAATGTACCATAGTGTAAGCTTCTGTGCATTAATCACTAGACATTTTTAACCTGTATTTACTAATTATACCCCACGCAACAAGTTGCGTGAGGTGTAATGTTTCTGACCCGTCCGTCAGTCAGTCATTGTGTCAGTCAGTCAGTCCTGTTTTTTTGTCAGCGCAACTCCTCAAAAACCGCTGCACAGAATTTCGTCAGACTTTGCAGATATTTAGGACACAATGTGTAGATGTGCATATTACCAGGAAATTCCGATTCCTTTATTTTTTCTGGGAATTTCAGCACTTTTCAACTTAGATTTTTGGCTATATCTTGAATATAGAGATGAACAGTTTGTCAGCGCAACTCCTCTTAAACCGCAGCACAGAATTTGGTCAAACTTTGCAGATATTTAGGACACAATGTGTAGATGTGCATATTACCAGGAAATTCCGATTCCTTTATTTTTCTGGGAATTTGGCATTTTTCAACTTAGATTTTTGGCCATATCTTGAATATAGAGATGAACAGTTTGTCAGTGCAACTCCTCTTAAACCGCTGCACAGAATTTGGTCAGACGTTGCAGATATTTAATACACAGTGTGTAGATGTGCATATTACCAGGAAATTCCGATTCCGTTATTTTTCTGGGAATTTCGGCACTTTTCAACTTAGATTTTTGTTAGAGTTTTGCCTATTAATGAAGAAACTTTCCAGCTAGGTAATAAGGAAATCCACTGGAATCAGCTTTTGTAGTGTAATTTTGTGTGAAATATTTTATAATCTTAAAAGACCCCTATTGATTTTGAGATCAAAATATTAATGATTTAACACACACACACACAAATCTTGGATAGTTCTCCCCCCCTTCCCCCCCCCCCCCCCCCCCCAAATTGGTGCTTTGCCTTAAATAATTTCATAAGTACAGTATATAAACAAATTCATATGACTACATCATAATTTTGTTTCCATCAATTATTTAAATGTGTAAATTGTCATGTGTTGGACATGGACTTACACTCATTAACAAATCGAAATCACTGAGGAATTTAAATAGCAGTTTGTCAGCATAACTCCTGCACTGAATTTCCTGAAACTTTGTAGGTATTTTCAGACATAATGTAAAGATTTGTATATTACCAAGAAATTTTGATTCCATTATTTATCTAGAAACTTTAGCCCAATTAAATTTGTAACATACAAAGATTTAATGTCCTTATATGCAAGAAGTTTTGATGTGATGATTTTTTGCAAGTAATGCCCCTTTTTGAATTATACTGTGTATTTAAAATGCACTGTGCAATTCATTACGTGTTGCATTGTTGAGTTTTGGGGGAGCGTGGGGTATGTGAGCTTGCTCACTTTTTCTTTCATTAGGATTGTTAAAGAATAGTGAGTGGTGATATTTTGAGGTTGCTTGCAGTATTGCAAGATTTAGTCAGGATAAGAATGATCACCTAAGGTCCAGCATAGCTTTATGGATATTCATAGTTTGCCATACTTATGGTAAACAATAACGTGTACTTGTTAAGTTGCTGTTTGTGCCCACATGAGCTCTTTATAGTACAATTATATTATAGATAAAAGGTATAGTTTCATGTGTGATCAGTGATGTTTTTTCTTTTTTTTGTAGTTAATTCTAATAAGCCTGTGCCTGTGTTTCCATGGCATGCATTGGTCCCTTTTCTCACTAACACAGGCCCACCAACAGTGGCTCAGGTCCCTACGTCAACTATAGAACAACCAGTAGAAAAACAACAAGCTGTTAACTCAACATTATCACCAAAGAAAGCTAGCCAGTCAGAGCAACGCGTCAGTGCTTCAGATGCCCGTAAGTTTAAAAGATCAATCCATCAGGGATACCAATAACAATACATAATTATAGATAATTAGACTTACATGTACTATAATTTTTTTTATGTGTAAAATGTAATTTGCTGAAATTCACAGACAGTGTACAAAATTTTTGGATTTGTTAAGCCTCAAAGTTCTCACAGGCACCTAACAATAACAATTTATTGGCTTAATGAAAAAAGATTCATTAAGTTACAAATGTTTAATAAAGTTAAAAAGCAGGGTTGGCCAAAAAAAGAGAACTACTCACATTTCTCAGGACATCGAGAAATACTGGTAATTCCAAGGAAAAGCAGTTAATGGTATTTCCTGGGAAATACTGGGAATATGGTAAAGCGACATGTTTTTTAATAATAAGTTGACAATTTTTTTTTAAAGATATAAAACAACTGTTTCTTGATTACAGCTCCCATTGAAGATGATATCGAGGAGGATTATGATGACGATGTCTTTGATACAAAGGAAGAACCCCAGCCAGAGCCAAAAAAGATCCCCGCAAAAAGACGTAGCCAAAGCCTCAGTGCCTTAAAGGACAAGGAAGAAAAGAGTCCCAAAAAGGTATCATCCACCTTAAGCTGGAGATGATAATAGAAAAGGTATCATCCACCTTAAGCTGGAGATGATAATAGAAAAGGTATCATCTACCTTAAGTTGGAGATAATTAGGGCTGTCACGAGTACCCGAAATAACCGAGAACCGCGGTCCAAGTTGTTCGGTTCTGTTCCGGTTCCATTTTTCCGGATTTCGGTTTGGGTCTGGTTTATATATTAGAGTCTGTTCAATACAAAAAATGGCGTTGAAATCAAAGGAATGATGACGATAACAGTGATGAATAAACATCACAACTGAAATCTACTTCATTCCATGACAAAACACGTGTCACGGAAGTATTAGATAATTATCAAAACAAGCAGGAATGGTCAGGTTGTGGCTAATAGTAGGCCAAGTCACCGATGTCTAGACATTCACATGATTAAGACTTGTTTTCAATGTAAATTTAATGTAACAAATAAAGATTTTTCAAGTTAAATTCATGAAATTAAGGTTTAAAATAGATGTAAATACCTGACCCAAAAAACCCGAAACCGAACTGAAAAATTACAGAACGGACCCGACCTGAAAAATTTTGGAACCGTGACAGCCCTAGAGATAATAATAGGCCTCTCCCAGATGAAGAATTGTCATCTGTTGTAACAAGATTTATTTAGGATTTTTCAGAATAGTTTCCCCTTTGCAAGTGTACAATAAAAAAACATTTAAAAAAAGAAAAACCCATTCGGAAAGATAAAGCTAGTATTCATTGAATGGAAAGTACAATACATTATGCAAAGTTGATCATTTTCAAATTTGTCCCATTTTAGTCAAAAGATAAAGACCACATCAGGAGACCCATGAATGCCTTTATGATATTCAGTAAGAGACATCGACACTTGGTCCACCAGCGACACCCAAACCAGGATAATAGGACAGTCAGTAAGATCCTCGGGGAGTGGTGGTATGCTCTGGGACCGGTGGAAAAGCAGAAGTACAATGATTTGGCTAATCAGGTATGAAAGACAAATTGCACTGAGATTGATCTGATCAAAATAAAGAGTGAAAAGTTAAAGTTGATGTCATATGCATAAAACACGCATTTCATAACCATTCATACTCTCTTTGTACATTTTTTGTGTACCAAATATTGATGTCTCCTCTTTTCACAACCCCTGACTATCATATATATTATCCTTCATGACATTAAAGCAGTGTATAAAAATTCTTTAACATAATGGTTAAAAACATAAGAGAAATTCAGTATATTTTATTTAGTGAATAAATTGTTCATTTGAGCAGATTTCTAAATTTTAGCACTAATGCTGACCTTGACATTTGATAAAGGGCAATAAAATACTGAGGGTTTAATCCATTCAAGGGTTCTAGAGTTATAATACTGAAGAATTCCTGTATCGTGTAGTTTATTAAACTTGTCTCCTCCACCACTCAAAGATACTCTCACATGAAGTAAAAGTATCATGGGTGTGATTTGCAGCAATTCATGAAACAGTTCTGGAAATTAATAGTTGGAACTGAAATGTATGATTGTGGAAGTTAATGAAAAAATACTTGAGCCACAACTGTAAGGTAATAGAAAGACATACTGCACTGTATGTCAAACATATAATTCACTTTCTTTACTATAGAGCTGCTGATGTTGTTGACTGATAATATTTAAACACAATTCCAGGTTAAAGAGGCTCATTTTAAGGCTCATCCAGACTGGAAATGGTGTTCAAGGGACAGGAAGAAATCTGGAACAATTGCTGACAAGTTGAAACAGAGGACTAGTAGTCAGCGTCTTAGTTCTACTGATGACATACTGGAGGACACAGGTAGGTTATGTGTGCCAATATACAGGACCACACAGGTAGGTTACATATACCAATATACTGGAGGTCACCGTAGGTTATGTATGTCAATATACCAGAGGACATAGGTAGGCCATGTATGTCAATATACCAGAGGACACAGGTAGGTCATGTACATCAATATACCGGAGGACACATGTAGGCCATGTATGTCAGTATACTGGAGGACACAGGTTACATATGCTGTATTCTGGAGGATACAGATAGCTTAAGTATTCCAATATTCTGGAGGGCACAGGTAGGTTTAGAATGTCATACTAGTGGACACAGATTGTGTGTATGATATAAGTTGGTTGAGTATGAGAATATAATGGAGGACACAGGTAGGACTACTGGATGAATTGTGTAGGTTTAATATGACAACATACTAGTGGGCTAAGGTAGAATAAGGAGGATTAACTAGAAAACTTGGGTTGGTTTAGTATGACAACATAGTGGAGAACTTGGGTAGATTTAGTATGACAACATAGTGGAGAACTTGGGTAGGTTTAGAATGACAACATAGTGGAGAACTTGGGTAGATTTAGTATGACAACATAGTGGAGAACTTGGGTAGATTTATTATGACAACATAGTGGAGAACTTGGGTAGATTTATTATGACAACATAGAACTTGGGTAGGTTTAGTATGACAACATAGTGGAGAACTTGGGTAGGTTTAGTATGACAACATACTAGTGGGCTAAGGTAGAATAAGGATGATTAACTGGAAAACTTGGGTTGGTTTAGTATGACAACATAGTGGAGAACTTGGGTAGATTTAGTATGACAACATAGTGGAGAACTTGGGTAGGTTTAGAATGACAACATAGTGGAGAACTTGGGTAGATTTAGTATGACAACATAGTGGAGAACTTGGGTAGATTTATTATGACAACATAGTGGAGAACTTGGGTAGATTTATTATGACAACATAGAACTTGGGTAGGTTTAGTATGACAACATAGTGGAGAACTTGGGTAGGTTTAGTATGACAACATACTAGTGGGCTAAGGTAGAATAAGGATGATTAACTGGAAAACTTGGGTTGGTTTAGTATGACAACATAGTGGAGAACTTGGGTAGATTTAGTATGACAACATAGTGGAGAACTTGGGTAGGTTTAGAATGACAACATAGTGGAGAACTTGGGTAGATTTAGTATGACAACATAGTGGAGAACTTGGGTAGATTTATTATGACAACATAGTGGAGAACTTGGGTAGATTTATTATGACAACATAGAACTTGGGTAGGTTTAGTATGACAACATAGTGGAGAACTTGGGTAGGTTTAGTATGACAACATACTAGTGGGCTAAGGTAGAATAAGGATGATTAACTGGAAAACTTGGGTAGATTTAGTATGACAACATAGTGGAGAACTTGGGTAGGTTTAGTATGACAACATAGTGGAGAACTTGGGTAGGTTTAGTATGACAACATAGTGGAGAACTTGGGTAGATTTAGTATGACAACATAATGGAGAACTTGGGTAGGTTTAGTATGACAACATAGTGGAGAACTTGGGTAGGTTTATTATGACAACATAGTGGAGAACTTGGGTAGATTTATTATGACAACATAGTGGAGAACTTGGGTAGGTTTAGTATGACAACATACTAGTGGGCTAAGGTAGAATAAGGATGATTAACTGGAAAACTTGGGTAGATTTAGTATAACAACATAGTGGAGAACTTGGGTAGGTTTAGAATGACAACATAGTGGAGAACTTGGGTAGGTTTAGTATGACAACATAGTGGAGAACTTGGGTAGGTTTAGTATGACAACATAGTGGAGAACTTGGGTAGGTTTAGTATAACAACATAAAGGAGGACTTGGGTAGGTTTAGTATGACAACATAATGGAGGACTTGGGTAGATTTATTATGACAACATAGTGGAGAACTTGGGTAGGTTTGGAATGACAACATAATGAAGGACTTGGGTAGATTTAGTATGACAACATAATGGAGAACTTGGGTAGGTTTAGTATGACAACATAAAGGAGGACTTGGGTAGGTTTAGTATGACAACATAGTGGAAAACTTGGGTAGATTTAGTTTGACAACATAATGGAGGACTTCAATGGGTAGATTTTTTATAAGTTTTTATACTGGAGGGCACTGAAGGTTTAGTAATATGAATGATATTTTTATAAGCAATATAATAATACCTTATTATTTAAAGCTGTGGGCATATAGTGATGGAGTGTCTGTTCTTCTGTCTGTATGTTCCTGCATATGTCTTTAACACTGAATCTTTATTACAAAGTGCTGTTGTGCACTTCCTATTTTATGTTTTGATTGGACAGATATTTTGGGTTACCCACAGCAAAAAATGGACTTTACCATTATGCTCATATGGGAATGGGGGGATATCATTTTGTGAGCTCAGTGCTCACAGTACTTCTATTTTGATATCTTTACATAAACATATTCAATGAAAATTATCATATTGTATAAAAAAGTTTTCATGTCATTTTTGATAATGCATAACAATATAAATAATTTATTTTTACTCTTTGCATTAGATACTACAATGGACAATGAAGACAGTGTATTTTTAAATCGGGAATCTTTATTTGAAAACATAAGGGGAGGAAGATCTCAGAGTTTGTCAGCTGTTCCACGAGATGGGGAGGGGTCAGCCTTCATGCCACCAGGGATGAATATCAACCCAAATGAGGACCAAAGAGGATTTACAGAGGTATTTGTTTAAACAAGTTCTAGGATTATCCTTTTATTTACATTTATAATACTGGGCCTTAAAGCTGAAGACAAATTGAAGAAATATACAATACTTAAGTTGTCTACCTATCACTTTGTGAAATACCATGGTACTAATTTTGTACTACATGTACATTCATAATCTTTGTAAATCACAGATTTTTAAGGCTTCTAATGTATAAAACTTGAACATTGAACATCATTTAATTACAATTTTTTATTTTTACAGGCATTAAGAAGACAATTAACAAATGGACTGACCCATCAGAAATCTCCATTGTCAATGCCATCACCTCATGAGACCCCGCGATCATCTCTCAGTCATCACTCCTCCCCAATGGCTAAATCATCCCCTTTGGCCCAGCCCCCTGTTGACATGCAGCGACATCACTCAGTGTCCAGTATAGAGGAGTCCAGAATAGCAGCAGGGTCCAGAGACATGGGGGGAGATGGGGATGGGAGTGATGATGAGAAAATGGTTATTGATGAAGATAAAGGTAATTTATCATTTCCTATAATCAATTATCAGTCTTATTAGATGCAATACAGCATGACTTAAAATTAGAACTGTGAATTCATTCAAAATATATTGCTAACATTGTATCTAAAATTTTGTACCGTATTTGGCTGAATATAATACGCACTTTTTTCCCAAAATAATTTTCTGTGAGAAAGGGGTGCGTATTTTACACCACAGTGGGATTTTGATAGGTTTTTCTTTCATGTGAAACACGGCTATCATACGCACATACCGTAGTATTACCTGGAGACTTGTGCAATTTCTTGCTGTTTATCGCCGTATTCAAAACTTCGGAAAGTTATTGTTGGAATGTAGACTTGTTAAAAATGTTATATTTATAACCTTTTGATAGTTAAATTAAATTTAAAAGCAAGTTAAAATTAATTTGAGCTGCATGTTCATCGTCTCCATGTAGGCCGCAAGTAACGATGTTATTTATAGATGTTCACACATTCCTTTACCACATGCTTCCGTAAACATGTACCTAATCAGTCAGACACTTGGTCAAAAAAGTAATGTCATTTTTTAATGAAATACAATAAAATAAAATTTTATTTTAGGTTTTAAATAACTCAGTGAAAATTCATTTCAACATAAACACCCCTCTATACGTCCCAATGAATGGAAGCCAATGTTGTGAACAAGTGCGCTTGTCGCTTGATAATTACCCCTCAACACCCCTCCAGGCAATTCAATTGTTTACCGACTCCAAAGCATTGTTTTTACAGTTAGAGCACTGATTATTTACTGCCCTTATTAATGGCTTTGATTATTTTCTTTGTTAAAAATCGGAGGTTGGTTTATGATTTTTCGTATGTATAAGGCCAGAGTTTTTTTATTTTCTGTTTAACGGGAATTTTTAAGAAAAAGTCGGGTCGAGGGGACGAAATAAAATAAAAATAAAAAGTTCAAAATTTGTCGAGTCGAGACCATATAAAAAAATAAAACCCAAAAATGGTATGAATTTTTTTTTTTTTATAGAATGTTGAAAAATGAAAGAAAACACAATAAAATTTTGTTTATCATTTATTTGGATTTCAAATATGGATAAAAAGATACAACTCCTAACTATATGCATGTGTCATCCTACTGTGGTTAATTACATTTGTAAATTCTAGTATGAAAGCAAAACAATAAAATTTACAGTTTAAATTATTATATAGCAACAATAATGTTGGATACAGAAAAATCCACACTGCTTAAAAATTTATAGATGTCTTCGTTTGGTCATCTCCTACTGAATAAAATTTATAAAAGTAATGATAAAAAATGTTTTAAGCTACATATATTATGATTAAACAGGAGTTTGGAGAAAGATATGGGGTTGATAGCTAACTTGACAATGCATTCCTAGTATAGGACTAACACATTCTTGAGGTTCAGAATGGAAATTTGTCAGCTGAAATTATTTGACGAACAACAGCAGTCATCTTGGAAGTCTTCTGAACTCTTCACAAATGGTTGGGTCTCCACCAAGAAATCAAACTGCACAAAAAATGCATTGTTCCTTTAAGATACTTTATTAATATAACCAAATACATGTAGTAGTTAGAAAGTAGAAGATAAAAAAACAGTATTTACATGAGATTATTTTCTTTTCTAAATGAAGATACAAAACATTTTTTAAGAGTTTTTGATAATAACACATTTCTTATATTATAAATATAATAATTTTGGTCTTTGTTCAATTTGCATTTAAAATATTAAATTGGACAATTTGTTGACTTAATTCTTTCTATCTCTACCTTTCCACAGGATAATGTGTGCAATTCCAATTAGGTGTGCAATTCCAATTAGCTGTCACTTGTCAGTGTTAGTTTTAAATATTCTTTTCCAATCGTAATTTTGTTGGAATCCTGACCTCATTTAATTCAACCAAGCAGACATGGACTTGTATCTAAAATATTTTAATCGTAATTTTATGTCCCTGATATAGTTAAACATAATTCATTGTAAAACTAAATTTTACTGCGAATTTTACCTCAATTTGTTATGTGATCAAATTAAATATACAATGTAAACATCTTTAAAAGAAACAAAAAACGTATCAAAAAATGTTAACCATCGAACAATTTTAACAGAAAGTTTATTAAGACGTCAAAAAACTTACCCCCAACTCTTTAGACACAAGATGGTTCAGTGTGCATCTAGTGTATTTAGGTTGTTGATGCCTTCATTCCGATTTCAGAATCTTTTTTAGCTCACCTGTGCTGAAAGCTCAAGTGAGCTTTTCTGATCACATTTTGTCTGTAGTCCGTCTGTCCGTCTGTCTGTAAACTTTTCACATTTTCGACTTCTTCTCCAGAACCACTGGGCCAATTTCAACCAAACTTGCCACAAAGCATCCTTGGGTGAAGGGGATTCAAGTTTGTTCAAATGAAGGGCCATGCCCTCTTTCAAGGGGAGATAATTAAGAATTAGTGAAAAATGAATAGCATCTTTAAAAAATCTTCTTCTCAAGAACCACAGGGCCAGGAAAGATGAAACTCATATGGAAGCATCCCCAGGTAGTGTAGATTCAAGTTTGTTCAAATCATGACCCCCGGGGGTAGGGCGGGGCCACAATGGAGGATCAAAGTTTTACATAGAAATATATAGGAAAAATCTTTAAAAATCTTCTTCTCAAGAACAGTAAAGCCATGAAGAGTCATATTTATATGGAAGCATCCTCAGGAAGTGTAGATTCAAGTTTGTTCAAATCATGACCCCCGGGGGTAGGGTGGGGCCACAATGGAGGATCAAAGTTTTACATAGAAATATATAGGAAAAATCTTTAAAAATCTTCTTTTCAAGAACAGTAAAGCCATGAAGAGTCATATTTATATGGAAGCATCCTCAGGTAGTGTAGATTCGAGTTTGTTCAAATCATGACCCCCGGGGGTAGGGCGGGGCCACAATGGAGGATCAAAATTTTGCATAGAAATATATAGGAAAAATCTTTAAAAATCTTCTTCTCAAGAACAGTAAAGCCATGAAGAGTCATATTTATATGGAAGCATCCTCAGGTAGTGTAGATTCAAAATTGTTCAAATCATGACCCCCGGGGGTAGGGCGGGGCCACAATGGAGGATCCAAATTTTACTTAGAAATATTTAGGAAAAATCTTTAAAAATCTTCTTCTCAAGAACAGTAAAGCCATGAAGAGTCATATTTATATGGAAGCATCCACAGGAAGTGTAGATTCAATTTTGTTCAAATCATGGCTCCCGGGGGTTGGGCGGGGCCACAATGGAGGATCAAAGTTTTACATAGAAATATATAGGAAAAATCTTCTTCTCAAGAACAGCAAAGCCATGATGAGTCAAATTTATATGGAAGCATCCTCAGGTAGTGTAGATTCAATTTTGTTCAAATGATGACCCTTGGGGGTAGGGGGATCGAAAGTTTTATGTAAGAACATATAGAAAAAATTTTTTTTCTCAAGAACAGAAAAGCTATGTTAGTCTTATTGATATGGAAGCATCCTCGGGTAATGTAGATTCAAGTTTGTTCAAATGATGACCCCTGAGATAGGGAGGAGCTACATTGGGGGATCAAATTTTTACAAAGGAATAAATTCGAAAATTCTTTTAAAATCTTCTCAAGTACAACAAATTCATTTGTTATATTGACATGAAAGCATCATCAGGTAGTTTAAAATTCAAGCTCCCCCCCCCCCCCCCCCCCCCCCCCCCCCCCCCCCCGTTCATTACTGAACTGATTTGTGCCTTAGTCTAGCCAGTGTGCTCAGGTGAGCGATGTGGCCCATGGGCCTCTTGTTCTCTTTATCGTCAATGGATTTAATATTACTATCTCGTCATTTTTATCTATAAATGTCTCGAAATGGCATTTTTGCTTGTTGATCTGTTGATAGAACCCGCGAAAAGTGCGATAAACTAGTTCTTTAAACTGGTTACGACATCATAATCAGCAAGACACTCGTACAAGAATTTGATTAACGTAAGCTATGTCAAACGTTTACATGATTTATTAAAATTATGGTGTACAACAAACCCGATTTTATTTCAAACCGTCAATAAATGACACAGTCGGCGGGTATTTTAAAAATAAAAGTGAGATGGACCTCTTTTATTTTTTTTCGGTATTTTGAAAAAATTGGGTCGGCGCTTCCCGTTAAACAGAAAATAAAAAAACTCTAACCTAAGCGTGTGTTGATTACGACACATTAAACAGTTAAATGCTTGTTAAATGTAATTTTACTTTATCTTATATCGGCCTCGTGTTAAAATGGTTGAGAGTTAAAAAAAAGGAAATATGAAGTATGTTGAAACTTAAGTTTATCATTTACTCGTGCTCTGTAGAAAATAAGATATCCACGAAGATTACCTCGATGTATGAAGACATATATCCCACCTTTGTACATCATTTTTCACAGCTTTGGAGGTGTGTTGATAACTACACTTTATACGCTTGTTATGTTCCCCAAACGAAGTTGGGGAACATATTGTTTTTACTCTGTTTCTTATTAAGTCTTCCGTTCACAACGGAAGACTTATAGTGATTGTATTGTTTCTTTTTATTATTAAGTCTTCCGTTCACTTATTATTATTATTATTATTATTATTATTATTATTCCTCCCAAATTTTGTGAGCGCGATTACTCAGAGATGGTTGGATAGATTTTCACAATTTTTCACATGATAGTAGGCAGATATATGAAGTTTATATAAAATTCCGTTTTTTGAAAAATTCACTTCCGGTCCGAAGTTACGGCCGAATTTCCAATTTTTAAATGGACTTTTGTCCGGAATTTTTATTGGAAACGGTTTGAGGTAAAGATGTGAAATTTACAGGGGTATTAGATCATGACATTCTCTTTGTTTCGAAGTTGTTTTCGTGTGTTTCCGGTACTTCCTGTCCGAACCGGAAGTGAACTTGTGTTTGGTCAATTTTCAACTTTTTTGTTTTTTAATATTTTTTCAAGATATTATTATGTATAACAGAGGTTATTCTACAAATACTAAATATATAATTTGT